AAGCTTCGCCAAAACCTACCCCCATCGCCTCAATTTTTTTGCGTTTTTCGGTCGATCCGGTGGCCATCTAACCTCACCACCCTCACTGTTGCTTTCCATAGGTGAGTCCAATCAAAACCTGGTAAGGATTGTCACCTCACCATCGCTGCTCCGTTCAGCCACCGTGGGTAAGTCGTCGGTCACTTTTATAGTCTTTTTAATAATGATTTTGGCTAGGTTTGGAATTATTTGGTTGTTTTGGATGTATAGATGCTTTTAGAAAAATCAGACCGCCTTAACGACCCTTTTTGCCTCTGCATGCTCCACTACGCGCCTATAGTGCGCGTAGGATTCGTCTGCCAGTCCAGGAAGCTTATGGAAACTGTCCAGTCAAATCGGTCTGAACCAGGTCTGTTTGACCCGATCGAGTCTACCCGGACTGAGTCAACTCGTCTGAGTCAACCTGTTGACTTTGACCCGTTAACTTTAACCTGTTGACTTTGACAAACAAAATAATTTTTTTTGAAAAGTTCTATTTTATATTTTTCGACGTTCTGAGTCTGATTCTGAAGTCCATTTTGCCAAATTCGGACTCGATAATTCATTTTTTAGTGTTTTTTCTTTGGATTCAATTTGATTTCTCAATTAAGTTCAGTTTCTAACGTAAATTCAGTTGCTGTGATCCGAGGAATTATTGGACGTTGAATTCAAGTTCGAGAGTGATCGAATAGAGTTTAAATGTTCGATCAGTGGAGAACAAAAATTGAGGTAATACTTTACTACCTCTTTGCATGTTTATGGAACATGTTGATAATAGATGAACACATGGATGTGTACAATTGATCTATTATGCATGCTTGGTTATGGATGGAATCGAACCAAATATGGTTTAAGTGATAAATTGATTAATACTCGATCGGATTACATAAAGGAATTGAAAGACTGATAAGAAATTATTTCAAGTGCAGTGATTAGCATGAAAAGAAAATAACCTCAGAATTATTAAATTCTAATTATTTTCGTTAAAAGGTTAATATCGGAATCACCTGAGTATAAAATTACAAAATTACCCCAATGGGATAAAAATGGTCTAGAATGACCTGAGAGAGAAAATACTATTATTGTTTGAATAATTCAAAAAAATTGAATTAAATGGAAAAACTGGATGGAAGGAAAGGACTGTAATAACCTTAAATAGTAATTTAACTAAAATACCCTTACATTACAAAAATATCATGATTACCCCTAAGAGCAAAAAATAAAGCTGAACAGATATATATGACGAAATTACCAAAAAGATGTATGTTTGGATTGATCTGAATTACAAAAATGTATTCGAGCTACGAAATACTAAAATAATATCTAACGTTCAAATGACCAAATACCCTGAACTTTAAAGGAACTAGAATACTTTAAAGTCTAGTTTATTGGAAGTAATGTCACTGATAGAATTGCATGGAATGACGATAATACCCATAAAGCGTAAAAAGGACTATGGATGGCTATTATAATGGAGATGACCTGAGAACTTATATTTTGATCCACTTGAACCTTAGAATCACTGATTAAATTCCTGAGCTATTTGAAAAACACCAAAAATAAACTCCTATATTTGAAAATTCTTAATATGTTGATCTCAGTGTTTTTGAATGAGTATTTGAAGACTAGATTACTGGAAGTGCGACACATCGCCGAATTATTTAAATGATGGATTATCCTCAAGTTTTGAAATAACTAACGAGTCAGGACCCGATGACTAAAATAACATCGAATATCGAGATGATCTAAATACCTTTATGACTTGGATCAAATGAATATCTTTGGATAGACTATAGGAACACTTACGAACCTAAATAATGTACTGCCTCTAAAGGTTATGGAGCACGACCCAAGTCGTCGGACATTTTGGGATACTATTACAATGTGGAAATGAAATAAATACCAATAAAATACCTATTCGTCTCCTTAAGAATTGATCAAGGATGATTTTGATATTGATCAGATCAACTGGAGCAATTAGTAATAAAAAGTGAATAATAGTGAAGTATCACGGTTTGAACAATTTACAAGTATCGAAGTATTGGAATCTGTAGTTCAATCAGACTCAAAATTTTGATAATTCAATACATAATCTGGAATACCACAATTCATTGCTCTATCCTTATTGAGTTAAGTTACTGAGAATTCTCCAAGAATCAAAATATCTGGAATACTTCTATTTGTTTGAATAATTGGATCATTCATATTATATCTAAATCTTCAATAACTCTGATGTAAAAGATTCTGAATGCCTTTCTGATTACTCAATTGCCTCCACAAATATCTGAATATTGTTGATAAATCACTTACCGAATGATTGATGAATTAGTTAGCTATCAAACCCCCTTTTATAGAAATCTTGATTATGAAATCCTATTAAATTACAAAAGTTTCATGGTTCACTACTTGATAAATACCAAATAGCTCTGAAGAATATATGGCTCCTCTAAATTGTTCCTTATGTGACATATAAATGTTTTACATGTTTTAAAACGTGATTTTCCAAAATTTCGGATTTACTGATGTTTTGAATTACTTTTAAATGAAATATGGCTACATGATATGCGCCCCATTGGAAAATACAATCGTTCATGATTTATGGATCATTGAATCTAATGGTTTATGAACTATGGTTACCTGAAATGTGATATCTGATTAATTGTTTTCACTGGAAAATATAATAGTCCCTGAATTATGGATCATGGAATGTACTGGTTACTACTTGAACAATTTTTTTGGGACATTATCTGGGTAGGCTGTAGTATGGAGGTTCAGCTCTAATGAAGCTGGTAAATCCTTACAAACCTAAGGTGACCCTTGGTTAGGCTCTGAGACCCGAGAAACTTTCTTGGGTAGGCTCTCAGGCCCCAAGGTATTCCATTGGATAAATCATGGGACTATATATGGTGTACGGGTGGAGGGAAGTTATGTGATTTATTTTATGGTCACTCTTACGAGATTTTACTAGATTACAATCCTGTTATTATTGTTTACTGTTAAATCTGATTTCTACTGGATACTGCGTGGGTAGGATTTTGGAGTATGGAGGTTCAGCTCTGATCAAGCTGGTAAATCCTTACGGACCTAAGGAGATCCTTGGGTAGGCCCATAGGCCCCAATGTACTCCTTTAGGGTGGCTCTTTTGCTGTGTGCTTAGGGTAAGTCCTTATGGATGCAGTTCAGAGGAATTGAAAACGGTGTTCGATTGGAGAGTATTATGTGTTTTTAAAAATATGTTTTAAACTATAAACATTTTAAAGATTTATATACGTTACCCTGTTTTGTTGGAACACACTAGACATCCTATTTTGATCTACTAAGAACTTGGTACTCTGAATGTTTCCTATGAGCTGAAATCTTCAAGGCTTTTACTCGATGAAATATCAGTGGAACCTCAGCTCATTACAAAAACCTGTAGATGGTTGAGTCAATAAGGACAAATTTTATTGTTTTCCTTTTATCTGCAAGTCCTTCAACATTCACTTAGTAGTTATGTATTACTGAGCTTCCCAAAGCTCACTCTTTTAATCACCATTTCAGGTTAAAAGAATCGTACCAGTGCAGCTATCGACATCAATAAAGGAGTTTCACCGGCATTGCTTGCAGAGTACGGTGCATGTGATTAGGGGGCATGTAGGTTGTATTATGTTTTTATTTCAGTCTGAAACTTGCATATTTTAATCCTGTTTATAATATATGAATGGTTTTTCTGAATTTGTATTATTTATAAATTGTTTTATGATTTTACGTATTTTAACAGAAATTTTAAATTTTTCGGGATTTGTATTGAGGGTTGCTCCCTATGTGACACCTCGGATCGGATCGGGTCACCCGCATCAGTCTGTGGGTGTTACAAGACCCAAAATAACTCGACCCGAAATGACTCGTCCCAAACCCTATTTGAATGACCCATTTTCCACCTCTAACTTTGACGACGACCCCGTGGTGGCGCTTTCGACGGGGTAGTTTAACCACAGGAAGAGGTATTTGAAGTATATCAACATTCATGCAACGGAAAAACTGTGAAGGCCAAGGTTGTGGATGAATGCGAATCGACGATGGGATGTGATTCCGACCATGATTACCAGCCGCCTTGTCCGAATAACATTGTTGATGCCTCGAAAGCGGTTTGGAAGGCTCTTGGAGTGTCGGAGGATGACTGGGGTGACATGGATATCTATTGGTCTGATACTTCACTTAATCTATATTTATAATTATATGTTTGTACACTGTAATCTTTATCAAAGATTTCTTCAGCCTCTTTGTCGATGTTTATGTTATTATTGATGATACCCATTTTCATTAAACATGTACGAAATGAAACATAATTATTTATCGGAAAGGGAAAAATTAAACAGAGAGAATTTGAAAAATGCTCCAACTCAATCACAGCTATTTGATTATTAAAATTAAATTAAATTTTGATATCAAATGTCAACATATTCAAATTCAGTTATTTAATAATTCAATTTACTAATAGGACAATGAACTTTGATTTTTAAAATCTAATTTTTTTTAATCAAAATAAGATTTTTTTATAATCTGGGTAAATATAAGATAATATTTGTTTACAGATAATATTTTTGACATTGAACACTCATACTTTTAGTATTTTAGGTTCTCGAACCCGAACAAGTAGATTTGTTTTTAAAATTTTCATTATTTCTATCCAAACTAATAGGTTAGTTTTAAAAATTTTGATTTTTTTTACATAAATGAAATACTTCGTCCAAATGTGATAGAACACTCTCTTAAATGTTTTTCTCTTCAATCTTAAATTAAATAATTCATATTGATTTTAAGATATTAAGTATTTTTATTTACCTCATTAATGAGATGTCACATTACAGTCAATTAATTAGTAAGGTATTAGGTATCCATACTGATCACTTTCATTGTAGTCCAGGGATAAAAATAAAGAAAGAAATAAAAAAACTTGAAATAGAGGACTCTTCAAATTGTCTGCCCCAAGTGACACAGAGACAGAATTGGTAAGTGGACAAGTGGGGACAAAATGATCCTAAAGTTTTCCCACTAAATCTAAGCATATAATTGATGAGTGCTTCTCTACCAGCTTATTTCCCTTGCAATAATAACATTTTCTTTATCATGCTGCTGCTACTATCCCTGAAAAAAATAATCCATAACCAGATACAAGGATAAAACAAACAGCCAAGCAAATCAAACAATATGTACTATATTTATGGTAATGTTACTTGGATTCGATGTAAATATCATATACGAGTATGTATGTAATTTTCTATATTTGTTTTTATACATATATGTCGAATACTTGTGTTATATATATGCGAATATAATTCTCTATATACATTTAAAAATGTTTTGGAATGGAATACATATGATATTCGGTATGTTAATATAAGATCCATCACGCAATTTTTAATTTACAACTTACACCATGGGGATGGCAAAATAAGCTTGAAGAAGCCTAGTAATAAAGGGAGCCTGCACAAACAAAGAATAAAAAGTCATTAAAGATTATATATATTCAGAAATATGTATCACCAAAAATCCACTGCTTTCATACCCTGCCACCAGTTCCCTCTTGAAGCACCACTGGAATTTATTCCATTGGGACCATCATCTGCCTCACCCTTCTCCAACTGTCCATACAAAAATACCAATAACATGATTTCTATGTTAAGAATCATATTTAAAGTACATATTATATGAATTTAGATATAATAATAACTCACTATTCAAAAACAAAAAGGAGATATACTAATAACTCATGTTATATAGATCCTGATAAATTAATATTCTTGTCTCCCTTAAAGAAAATTCTTTATAAAATATTTTAAATTATAATGTCGTAATTTATATTATTTTTAATCCAACCCTAATGTTATACTTACATAACTGAGGGAGTCGGTGGTGGTTAGAGAAAAGTAGTCTTCTTGGCCTCCATAGTGGATAGATGAGCATAAATTGCAAGGTGCTGTTGTTTCGTAGCGATGAAGGGATGGAGTTTTGGCTTTGTAAGTTTTGCCTTGCACCTGAAATCAGATAGAAAATTTTAAAACATTGCAGCACTCAGATCAACCGGAAAAACCTATAAACAGTAGAACAAGGAGGAGGATATAACTAAAAGAAGAATTATTTTACCATTGATGGAGGAGGAAACATAGTCGCAAAAATCCCCCTTTTGGGTGAACTAGAAGGGTACTTGGGACCAAACAAATGATCCAATGATGATGAAGAAGATGAAGAAGAAGAAAAAGAAGAAGAAGAAGAGGAGGAGGAAGAAGTAAACACTTGGCTTTTGTTTTCCATATCAGACAAAACCTTAGCCCTTCTGTTTTTAGTTTTAGTTTTTTCTCAACATAAAAAAGCTTTCTTTGTCACCCAACCAACAAAACTACTGTTTAATAGATCAAACAAAACTGTGAGAAACTGCAGATTGTGAGGAGATGTCGAGTATTGGCCGACGGCTTTGGCTATTTATAAGCCCCCAATAAAAAGGGTTTACTTCCTTGAATTGTTGGGACTCTTTTTTATTTTATAATCTGAGTTTTTGTTGGTTGTTAAGATTTACCCTAATTAATCGTACTGATACCCATTACGTTTATGATAATAAATATAATAATGATAAAATCACCATTATCTTTTAATCATCATAATTTATATTTTGTGTCAGTTTTTCCAAATATTAAATAGACTTAGTTAACTACGTAATTCATAGTCTTTATCAATAATTTTTTTATCTTATTTTTTAAGATAAATATTTACCTCTTTATTACATATAACTAAAGAGTCTATAATTATTTTAAAATTAATAAATATAATTTATTAAGACTATAAATGATATGATGAGTTTGATGATAGAATATTTTTTCTTTTTTTACACATAGGTGTATAACTCAAGACCAACAGACACGTGTTCTTTTGCATTGAATTGATCGCCATGTGTCTCTTTGCGATTTAGTTTGACCCTTTTTTATTTGGAATTGTTCGAATTTTTAAAAGAGTGTAAAAGATTAATGATAACGATTTAAATCCTCTTATTTGATTTTATTTAAAAGATTTGACTCCCGATTAGTTATTTATCTATTTATTGTTGTTACTTTGAAATTAAATCCCTCTTATAAAAATTAATTTTTAGTATGATTTTGTTTATAAAAAAATTAAATTTAATTATTTTTTTAATAAAATGGAAAAAAATAGTATTGATAGGGTGAGAAGTAAAAATGTACATTGTTTTTGTTGGTGGAAGTGGTTGAGGCTGGTTGGGTTAAGTGTTCAAATTGATGTTGTAGAAGATGCCTTTCTTTCATAATAAACAGTTGACTTGTTTGTCTTTTCAACATCTTAAATGTCATGCAAAATGGAATATTGAAGCAATATATATTCGAAGAATCAACAATCAGATCCTTGTTCTTGAAAATGATCGAAAAAAGGGGTCAGCTTCGACTCATTTCTTCAAAATAAGAAAAATGAAATGATTTTCATATAATTTAAACAGGCTAGAGTTTCTTTATATATATATATATATATATATATATATATATATATATATATATATATATATATATTAAGGAATACATTTAAATATTTAATAATTTAATAATAATATATTCACTAACCAAACGTAAAAAAGAGAGGATAAATTACGTTGATGGATTTAATATTTATATTAAATTCGTAATCTTTTTAAATATTGTAAATTGAAAGATATTATTTGATTTGAATATAGTAGGATAATTATTCTTTTGAATATATCAAATTAAAAAATAACTTATTATTTAACTTTGAATATTAAAAGATAATTATATACTTTTGAATATTTCAAATTAAAATAATATTTATTTAAGTTTGAATAGTAAAAAGTTTGAAAAGTGAAAGGAGTGTATATCTTATTAATATTTCAAATCTAAAAGATATAATTATCTGCTTATTTTTTATATTAAAAGTTAACCAGTTGGAGGAATTCATCACGTCATAATTAATGTCACGATTTGAATATAACCACTTCATGAAGCTCAGACTTACCTCAATATTTGTTTTGACTTACCTCCAATTTATCAACTTAATGCTTTTGGCTGAGTGGCCCCATTTTATTACACTCATTTTACCTCTTTCTTCTTGTTTTTTTCTCTTACCTCGGGAAATTTATCGTGTCATTATTAATGTTACTGTTTGAATATAACCACTTCATGAAGCTAAGACTTACCTCAATACATGTTTGGACTTCTCTCCAATTTATCAGCCTTGTTTTCAGCAGATTGGCCCATTTTATTACATTCATTTATTAATAGGTTTGTGAGTACTTAGCTTCAAGATTTCTTAAGCTTATTAAGAATAACTTGTTATAGTATAGGTGTCATTAAAAATCAGAAAATTTCATCTTTAGAGTTCAATCCCCAAGCGACTGACCTAAACTAAATTCATTTACTCCACTATTCCATTTGCAAAGATTAGGAAGTGTGATCTATTAAGTTTCACAACTTTGTATATGTAAGTTGTTTCACTTTATCAGCTCATAAACATAACTCAATATCTTGCCTTTTTATTATTCGTCAATGGAAGGAGAATGTTAACTTCAATCCTGCAAGAAAAAGGTGTGACCCTCAAATGTAACCTTTAAAGCACGATCATGGTTATTGCTTTTACAGGGATTCAACCTTGTTTATTCATTTCATTTCATTACTCATAGTCTGAAAAAGAACAATGTTTATTCAACTAAAGCATTTCCAAAATATTCATAAAACAGAGAAAGAAAGAAGAACAAATTCAAACAAAACATGTTTTCAAGAAAGTGCAAATGCTATGTGGTGGATGGCCTCATATGTTGATCTTTGAATTTCCTTCATCTTGAAACACTTGATTTGACTTGAATCCCCATATTTTCACTTTAATGCCCGATTTGGTTTGTTGTTCATTGCTCAACCAATTATTGCGTTAATGTTCCTTTTTCAACAAGCTTCTCTATCTCTTTCATCAGTGACCAACAACTCTTAGTAGAATGTCTAAACTAAATGGAAATAACAAGCACTATTTTGATCATGGCTATAAGCAGAAGGATTTGGGACCAATTTTATCAGTCTCGAAGTGATGTACTGGCCTTTAATCAAATGAGGGAACAATTTTGATATGGGTCTTTGGAACACATCTAGAGCTTTTCTCACTCGATGAATCTTCTTTGGCTGATCTAAGCGATTAGTTGGCTCATTTCTTTTGTGATTGTGATGGCTCTGGAAATGGCATTCATTTACCTCATTATTTTTTTGCCTCTAAATCAATTGGACTTTTGGAAGCATCTTTTAAGTTTCCTTTGTTGATCGCATTTTCTATTAGTTCTCCACTTATCACAAGATTCTCAAAGCCCACTATTGAGTTTGCAAGCATTAACTCAAAATAAGGAGCTGAAAGAGTTTGATGGAACATATGTGACACTTCTTCCTTCGACATATGAGGTTGAACTCGAGTTGACATCATTCTCTATCTCAATGCATGCTCTTTGAAGCTTTCAATAACTTCCATCTTTAATTTCTGGAGATCTTGACGATTCGGAGCTAGATCTTTGACATATTGATATTGCCCCATAAATGAATTGGCCAAATCGATCTATGACTTGATTTGTTCTTTACTCAATTGATTATACCATACTACAACATGTCCAGCAAGACTATTATGGAAACAATGGATGAGCAAATTATCGTCATTTAAATATCCTTCCATCTTTCTGTAGAACATCTTCAAATTGATCATTGGACAAATAAAACCATCATATTTCTCAAAATCAGGCACCTTAAACTCACGTGGAATGACCAAATTAGGGAACAAGCAGAGCTCTCTCACTTCTAGATTCTTACAGGAGGAATCAACATCTTTCCCTACTCTAACCATATCATCTAACCGATTGGCTTTATCTTTACATTGCTCAGGATTAGTGATATTATTTATTTCATTCACATATGATGCCCTTGGATAGGTTGTCAACCCTAACATATTGAGCTGACAGCACTGATATCCCTCTGTAGGCATTTTCTCTCTATTAACAACCCTTGTAGCTAACACTTAGGTCATTTTCCCTAGTGTTTCTTGTTGAGAAATCAGTGCTCGATTTTTCATATCAAGTTGCAATGTGGTTAACTGATCTCTCATATCACCTTGAGACTTCCTTATTGCTTCCAACTTTTTATCCATAATGATAGATGATTGATATGTGAATGGATGATATCGGTATTACTGCCACATAGCCCCCATGAATTAATCTTATTTTTGAATGGTTGTAGAAATGTTTGAATAAATGCAATACAAAATGCAAATGAAGAATGTGAATGCAACAAAGGTATTAGTACCAAAAATAAATGTTCCTAGAACAATTCTTTAATAATTGAAATTGTCTCGGTACTATGGGAAAGTGAAAATCAAATATTATAGAAAATATTTGGATCATCTTCTAGTTGTTCAACTCCTGCTAATGGTTGGATAACACATTGTTCTTTATCAAATTTTGGCACTTCAAAAATCTTCATAGCTTTTCTTTATCTCCTCTAGCAAAGATTTATCGATATTGTTCATGATCTTGGGCTACTACCTTTAGCGTTGAAGCTTCCTCAACCTAGTTTATCTCCCTAATAGGTAAAATATCTCTTAATTCTTATTACTTTGCATTATCCATAGATGAATCTTTGAAATTCTATCTAACTCAACGAAAAGCATTTTTATGGGGATGTTATTTCAAGAACCTTTTAAATGAAAAGTTATTTCAGGGATAAATACCTTTGAAAGATATGACATGTTTATGCAATGATAATAAAGCATGCAAAGCAATCAGGCAAACAAGAAATCAAAGTGGTATAAAGAATAATCAAAGAAAAGCAAGAAAAATTAATCAAGAAATAAATTGTAAATACAATAAGTGAAACACACAAAATACACAAATAAATTCAAAGTCCTAATAGCATGCGTTCTAATTCTCTTAGGTTATCTATATGGCTCTAGGGGTGGACTTACTAAATTCTCTATATAACGGTTTGGTTCTAGAAAATGGTTCCCAAGTTGTCCTTACAACATGCTAAGGTTAATAAGGACTACGATTCTGGCCCATTACAGACTTTCGAATCGAATTCAGTCTAAGGGATTACACCACTAACTACGTATCTCAGAACTGATATCCTGATAAACAACTTAGGATGTTTTCTAAAGGTAATTTTTCAGACTCACGCGAGGAAGCCCAATGCTCCCGTGAGGTGTGACGTTTCCCCTAATTAGGTAAAATGGAACAGTAGCGTAAGCATTAACCAGAAAGAAAATAATTTTAAAGTTTTAGAAATATAAATTAAATAAATTCGAACTCGAAATTTCCAAATTCGAAATATAGGGTAATCAACTCGTGGGTCGACTCTCAGCTTGTTTTAGAAAACAAAATATTCCCAGCAGAGTCACC